CCTCTGTTCCGGGAGCTCCGGATTCGGAGAAGGAGCCTGGGCCTGGGGAATGCCCGGCGGGACCGCAGAGTGGGGTCAGGGCCTCCCCGCGGGCGCCAGCAGGCTGGGCAGTGCCAGCAGACACACACGGGATGGAAAACTTTGCTCAGCTGGACGGCGGGGAGAAGCTGTGGCCACTGTCTGGCGCCCCCCTCCCCCCGCCGGCCCTGGCAGCCCGCCTCCCCCCTGCCCACCCGCCTGCTGCGGCTGCCTGAGTCATCCATGGGGCCAGGAGCCGGGCAAGTTCTGGCCCAGCGACTGGGAGGCTGAGGAGGCCTAGGCTGGGGAAGGGAGGGGGGCTGAGGGGAGACGGGGTGGCTCCGGCCTTGCAGGGTGCGTGGGGCCGGGGCTGAGGCCTCCAAGGGAGTCCGAGCCTCAAACAGCAGCAGGAGAGAGGGTGGCAAGCCTACCTGGCGCTGTGGTGTGGAACCCCAAAACCCACCCTCCCCAGAAGCGGGGTGCACAGGCACCCAGCCTCCGTGGGGTCGCAGTGAGCCCCGGCTTGGCCCCCTCCGGGCTTCCTGCCCGCGTCTGTGCACCTCGGTCCTCTCGAACGTTTTTCCCCCCAAAATGCAGCTCATTCTCCTCGGGGAGCCCCCCAAGGCTGCAAAGGGAGCAGCCTGGGCCCCTGGGAAGCGCCCCCCGCAGACGGAAGGGCCGCCCCCGGGGAAACCGGGGTGCTAGCAGCCGCCTTCCCGGAGTCATTGTGAGGATTAATTGAGGAAATGTCTGCGAGGAGATAAGACGAGGAGATACAGACCATAAATGTTTGTTGTTACAGCGCGATAACCCTCGTCCGCCTTAGAGAGCCGCCTCAATTAGCCCCGAAGTAGCAGCTGCCAGGCCCTTCCCTAATATGGGGGAGCCGCGGAGCCCGGGGACTCGCACCCCTTCGAGGTAACTGTCCGCATCCTCAGGACGCTCAGAGGCGGGAAGGCGAGGCCCCCCGACTCGGACGCCGGGGCCCATGCCGGCCTCGCTCCCACCAGGGGCCTCTGGTGTCAGCACCTCCCGGTGAGAAGTGAGGGTGGCCCGACCGGCGTGGCTCCGTGGTTGAGCATCGACTTACGATCCAGGAGGTCACGGTTCGATTCCCGGTCGGGGCACAGGCCCGGGTTGCAGGCTCGGTCCCCAGTCGGGGGGCGTGCAGGAGGCGGCCGATTCTCTCTCGTTATTAGCGGGGGCGAGGGCTGCCCAGAAGGGGAGAAACAGGCACAGAGCAACCCAGCACCACATTCCCACCTGGAAATTCAAGTCTGAACCCCCAGACCCGCTTCCCAGCTGTTCACTGTCCCCAAATGGGCAGAGGCCCAGGACGGCGGACAGGGCCGGCTCAGCCTCACCCCATCCCCGCCTGCTCCCGGCCCCCGGCCCCTCTGTCCTGGCTTCCCCGGTGGCGCCTGCGTGGGAGGCCCTGGCTGCGTGACAGGGGCATCTGGCGGCCGATCGAGGCCCCTGCCTCTTCTCTCCCTCACACCACGTCTTGCCCCGGCTCAGACTCGCCCCCTCCCCCCCAGCTGGGGAGGCTGTAAGTCCACACGCCCACGCCCACGGGAAGCAGCTGGGCCCCAGGCACCACCTGTGCTCTAACCCTTTCCAGCTTGCCGACCCCTCCCTGGGCCCTAGCTGCTGCCCACGTGGGTGGGTGGGGCCCCGGAGGGTCTGATGTCCGCCCCCGCTGCCAGTTGCCAGGGGAGGGTCAGCTGAGCTCCCACCGTGGCTGTCGAGGACGGTGGCGGGAAGGGGGTCTTTTGGGAGCCGGGCCCCTGTTTCTCTTCAGCGGAGAATAAATTCCGCATAAGTGACCGGAACGATGCCGACATGCCCAGCTGTCCCAGGCGGTCCTCCCGCCCCCTCCCTCTTCTGACATGGGGTGCACTCGGGGACGTGATCACGGGCTGAGGGTGTGAGGACCAGCTGGGAGGGGGCCCCCCTCTCCATGGGGACAGGGGGGCCATCTGAGTGGCAACGACCTCTGCCCCGTGGCCTGGGAACAGTGTCACAGCTTCGTAGCGACTGTCTTATCTTCCCCACCGCCTGGAGCGGAGACCTCCCTCCCCACTTTGTGGGCAAAGATATTGAGGCCCGTCTGGCGTGGCTCATGGTTGAGCATCGACCTAGGAACCAGGAGGTCACGGTTTGATTCCCGGTCAAGGGCACGTGCCCGGGTTGCGAGCTCGATCCCCAGTTGGGGGTGTGCAGGAGGCAGCCGATCCATGATTCTCTCTCTCTCTCTCCCTTCCTCTCTGGAATCAATAACAAAATATTTAAAAAATATAAAGAAATCGCTAATCCAGAAACAGCTAGCGATTAGCTCAGCGTCACACAGCGATGGTGTCATGTGAGAACGAGGTCTGTGGCCGGCCGGGCGCCGGGGACACGCAGGCCATGGCGGGCAGGAGGCCGGGGCCAGCCTAGGGGGGTTTAGGTCCTGCCCTGGGTGACCAGGGCTGGTGGCGGCGGGGCAATGGGAGATGTTACTGACCACCAAGGCGGGCGGGCACACTGCTGGGGGCACTGCATGAAGGGCGAACGATTCCCTTCATCAGGACAGTGAAGGAAGGAGGGTAGGATGGAGGCTGTGAGGGGGCAGGGCATAGTTCACTAGCCTGGAAGGTGTCCGGCCAGGGGGGTGGGGGTGGGAGGGAGTTGGTCCAGGCTGTGAGCCGGCCACTGGCCTGATCCAGATGGACCCCGACGGGCCCCTCCCCCAAGCACAACGGAAGGACAATAGAGCCAGAGAGGCTCCTCCTGGGCACAGGACGGACGGGCGGTGCCAGCCTGCCCAGCGGGACAAGGGGCCCTTGTGTCTCGGCCTCAGATCCTGCCCCACCCTCCTGGCCTGGGGGTGGTCAGCCTTGTGGGGGGGGGTCGGAAGTTTAGATGCTGGGGTGGGAGGAGGCCGGGTCACCTGGAGGTCTCAGGGAGCGTGGGGGTCGTGGGGGGGGACTGGGGAGCAAGGTGGGGGTTTCTGGGGCCTGGAGGAGGCTGCAGGCAGGGGGGGGGGGCTGCCTGGCGGGGTCCCCTCCGAGCAGAGGGAGCAGGGATGCTGAGTGATGAAGATCTTCCGCGTTTGATCCTCACAGGTCCTGGGAGGCAGACACAGAAGGGGTGGTGCTCCCATTTTATAGATGGGAAAACCGAGGTTCAAAGAAGCCCTGGCCTCACCCCAGGCCACCCAGGGAGGAGGGGGGAGCTGGGGTTGCCAGCAGCTCTGGGAATGGGTTAGCAGGTGGGGCAAGACGTTCATTCAAGGCTGAGTGGACTCAGGATGCGGGGGGCCATGTGAGGAGTGGGAGTCGGCGCCCCCTCGCCCACCTGTGCCACCTACTTTTCCTACCACCCCCCCCCCCCCGCCCCATCCCCGGGCTCCAGGGAGGGAGGTGCGGGGTCCCGGCCCACAGCCCGACTTTCCTCAGCTTCTCCTTGAAATTCCACGCACCCTGGGCGTTTGGCAGGAGCCCTGAGCTTCACGGAACAATTTGTCTTTCATGGCGCATCTGCATCAATCACCCCATTGTTCGCCCGCCCCTTCCTGGACCTCGGGGCTCCCCGTGCGCCGCGGGCCGGGCTGTGAGCGCCCCCTGGTGGCCGGTCTGCACCGCGCCGTCCCGGGGCCTCGGGTCTGGGCTGTAACCGAGCTGGGAGCGTGGTGAGCCCTGGGCCCCCCTGTCACCAGGCCGCATCTCCTCCCGGCTCCATCTCCTCCTGCTTGTCCCCAGGGTAGTCCTTCACACCCTAGTGAGAGCAAACTGCCCACAGTCCCCCAGACCCCACCCCACGCTCCTCCATGCCCCTGCGCCACTCACTGCTCCGCCGGCTCATGGGGTCCTGATGTCTTTCCTCCTTGGCTGCCGGGACAATTCCTAAACTTCCTAAAAACCAAACCAAACCGAAGATCTAGCTCAGGGGTCACCGCACCCTTGGGTGAAGCCTGTTTTGGGTCCCTTCTGTACCAAAGCGCACGTTATTGCGCGCATCACGTGCTCCCTCTGGTGGCGAGGGGCAGAACTTCACCTCCGGCTCCTGGGCACAGGCCAGGGCAGGCAGGACTGAAAACTAAAGGGTGTCCCAAAATTCATGCAAGATTTGAATTTTGCGTGAGCTTTAACAACAACAACAACAAAAAACAAAAGCCTAATTTTACTGGGTTTATTGAATCAGATTCTCATATCTGTGGCCCTTTGATTTCAATCCCTTCCATGTGATCAGCATCACCAAGTACCAATGATGGCCCAGGAACAGGGACAAGGAAGACCAATGAAGACCGCGGCTTTGCGTCTGTGCCAGCAAAACCGTGGAGGCCGTTGACCCGATGTGCTATTCCATACATAACCCTATGCTGTTTACTTTATGGATCAATAAAAAATTTACAATTTTTAATTATAAACCTGTGTTTTCTCTCAAAATTACTTCTTGCGTGAATTTTGGGACACCCTTTACAAGCGATTCCATGCAATTTCCTTACGAATATTTCCCTAACTTGTCATCTCAGGGGCATTTTATTAATCCGGGAGACCACACCCCCCAGAGCTCGCTGCAGCGGCCAGCCCCGCACTCAGTGACCCGTTATACTGGCCCTCGTGGACAGAATGAAAAGCCAGGCTGGAATCAGGATGATAATAATAGTAATCTACTGAAAACATGGACTAGACCTTTGATTGTTGGCCGCAGCGATCAACAGTAACCGTATTCGACAGTAAAGTAAAATGAAAAACATGTCTTCACTAATTCAGGCCCTGGCCGGCGTGCCTCAGTCGCCTGGAGCATCGTCCCAGGCACCAGAAAGGTTGCGGGTTTGATTCCTGGTCAGGGCACATCCCTAAGTTGCAGGAGAGCCACTTGGGAACTTGTGAGAAATGCAACTTTCTGGGCTCCCTCCCGGACCTGCCGAACCAGACACCCTGGGGTGGGGCCCCGCGTGAGTGCTGCCCCAGCCCTGTGGGGGTTCTGACGCATCCAACAGGCTGAAACCCATGGGGCCAGCAGAGGCCTGCCCTGCCCACACTGGGTTGAGTCCTGAGGGGCCGACAGAGGACAGAAGCCCCGTCGCCTTCCCCCAGACCGGTTTCCACCTGAGGAGAGGGGACAAGAGGCCTAGAACCAGGGGGCGGCACAGACAGAATGTCCTGTGGCAGGAGACACAAGCGGACAGAGTCTGGGAAGGCTTCCCGGAGGAGGTGGCTTCCAGCAGCGCCCAGGGGGCTGGGTAGGATGGAGGGAGAAACCCTCCCGCTGTGGAGACCTGCAAGCTCCAGGGTGCAGACGCGGAGCCCCGGATGGGCTGGGAGGCGGCAGCCAGGCGGGTGCAGGGTGGAGGTTCGGGCAAGCTGGGAGCTGGCAGGAGAGACCTGGGTGGGGTGGGGGAGGGGCCGGGAGGCGGGATTGGGAGAGAATCAGCCGGGTTCCCAGTCGCAGCCTCGCTGCCTGCTCACGTGCTGTGCTTCTAGGGTGGGGTCCACTCCGTTTGCTAGCTCCCTCTCCACCTCAGCCCCCCCCTGCCCCCCAGCCCTGCAGGATCCAACCCCAAACCCCACCTGCTTATTATGGGATTTCTGGAGCAGCAGCCTGGTCTGCAGGGACCTGCCGGGACCTGGCCCCAGGCCCTCGGGTGTGAGGGCTCAGCTGGCAGTGCAGGGGGACCTGGGGGTCAGGGGGTGGCCTTCCCTCCCCCCCTCCTCCACCCCAGCCTGGGACTGCGGGGAGGAGGGCTCCGGATGGGAGGGTGGAGCTGAAGGGCCCGCAGCTCCAGGTAGAGGGAGGCAACAGGTTTGGGCAGCGGCAGTGGGTGTGGGAGGAAGTCAGAGGGTGGGGTGGGGGTGGCTCTGCAGGCGAGGGTGTGAGAACCGCACCAGCTGAAGGGGCCGCCCCAGCCCGGAGCCTGACCAGAGCCTGTCTGCCCTCCCCTGGCCTCTCCCTCTCCAGCTGGCCCTGCGAGCTGCCACTCACCCAACCCTGGCCCCGCCCAGACCTCCTCCTGGCCCCGCCCAGGCCTCCTCCTGGCCCCGCCCAGACCTCCTCCTGACCCCGCCCAGACCTCCTCCTGGCCCCGCCCAGACCTCCTCCTGACCCCGCCCAGACCTCCTCCTGGCCCCGCCCAGGCCCCCTCCTGGCCCCGCCCAGACCTCCTCCTGGCCCCGCCCAGACTCCTCCTGGCCCCGCCCATACCTCCTCCTGGCCCCGCCCAGGCCCCCTCTGGCCCCGCCCAGGCCCCCTCTGGCCCCGCCCAGGCCTCCTCCTCCAGGTGCTAGTACTAGTACCACCTGTTAATGCAGCCAAACCACTTAAAACTGAGCTATCCAGAGAATCAGCAATTCAGAGCATCACTTACCGTTTTAAAAAATACATATTTTTTATTGATTCCAGAGAGGAAGGGAGAGGGAGAGAGAGAAACATCCATGATGAGAGAGACTCATGGATCGGCTGCCTCCTGCGCGCCCCCCACTGGGGATCGAGCCGGCAACCAGGGAATCAAACCGTGACCTCCTGGTTCCTAGGTCGATGCTCACCCACTGAGCCACACAGGCCTCAGCTCAGCTCACAGCTGCTCAGCCGGGACCGCCACCTGGGTTCACAGGGAGAAATGGAGGCTCCAAACGTTAGGCTGGGAAAGCTCCGGGGCTGGGGTTCCTGGTGGGTGGGGGGGCCCCTGAAACTCCCCGGCCGGCGCTGTGTCTCTGATGCCACTGGCTTCGTGCTGAGCCCTTTTGTGGCCGAGAACTAAGGGGTGGCGACGTTTGGGGCCTTTATTTCCTCTGCTCTCACTCCTGAGCCCCCAGCCTGGCCGGGGCTCGGCCATCAGCCCCAGGAAACCTGGCCCTGGAGCTAGGGGGGTGTGGGGGCTGCAGGTGGGGGTGATGGAGGCGGCGGGCGGGGCTGTGGCTGGCTGTCACCGAGGCTGTGGCCTGAGCAGCCGGGGTGGGGGGGCGGCGGGAGGGGCGCCCGGAAGGCAGATGCTCTGGGGCCTGGTCACCGGCTAATTTGGGCTCCTCGCTCCCCAGACAATGCCCGGCAGCTGGGCTGACAGGTGCGGAGGGATCAGGCCCTTAGTCCACACCCAGGGCCTCACAGGGCTTAGCTCCCCCGGCCAGGCACTCCCTTCCCCGCCCCACAGCCCCCCACCTCCTGGGAGGGGCCTCTGGGACCAGGGACAGGGGCTCCGGCCCCACGGAGCCCAGGAGGAGTCGCACCCGAGACCCTCAGAGTCTGTGACTCCCCGAGGTTCCCTGTGCAGAGGGGGGCCTGGTGGGCGGCACACATTCACCCCATGTTGTGGGTGCCTCTGACCACCCTTTGCTCTTGTCCTGGTCAGTCTGCTCTCTCCATCTTTCCTTCTCAAAGAACAGGTCAGCCCAGCCGGCGTGGCTCGGTGGTTAAGCATCGACCTATGAACCAGGAGGTCACGGTTCGATTCCTAGTCGGGGCACAACCCCAGTCGGGGTTGGGAGTGAGATCCCCAGTGTGGGGGGTGCAGGAGGCAGCCCCCGCCCCCCATCCCTTCTCTGACCCCAGCTGCTCCCTGCCAGGTGCCTTCATGTTCCATCCCTGTGCCTCCACCGGGCAGCCTGAGCCCAGCTCCCCCCTCTGCCCCCCATGACGTCCCAGACCCTGGCCTTCCTCCCTGGCAGCCGCCCGGAACCACAAGGTCACCTCCGCTGGGCCCCAGGATGAGTGTCCAGAGAGCGGGCTGTCACCCCCGGGCACGAGGGGTGCATCTCCTTAGGGCGCCCATCCTGAGCTCTCTCCCCCACCAAACAGGGGACCCGGCGGGCGCCCCCACCTCCTGCTTGCCAGGCCTCTCCCTAGCCTCCGAGGGGGTCAGCACCCCGCTGTCCTGGCCGTGCCCGGCTCTGCCCCGCGGGCCGGCCGACAATAATAGCTTGGGATTAACATAGCGGGCATTGTCTTTCTCTGACTATCGCTGGGTACCATGGGCTCATCCTAAAAATACCCCGCAGACAGGTGCAGACCTGAGGGCGTGGGGCCGGGGACAAAGGGAGAGCGGGGGCGGGGGGGGGGAACCCTCTCCCCGAGGTCCAGGCCTGGGGACCATCCATTCCTGGAGGCCCACCTGGAGGAGGCGCCGGGAGGCTGCAGACCCTCAGGCTCCCATGGGCCGCTGCAGCCATGCCAGCTCTGCCGGGACACTCGTGGGAGCCGGCCTGCAGCGCCTCACACAGCACAGGAGCCCCCAAAAGATGTGGGCTCGGGGCCTGGTGCCCACTTTTTCTTTTCCTTGTAGGAGATGAAGGGGCGCCTGACTGGTGTGGCTTAGTGGTTCAGTGTTGACCTATGAACCAGGAGGTCACGGTTCGATTCCCGGTCAGGGCTCGATCCCCGGTGTGGGGCGTGCGGGAGGCAGCTGATCGATGATTCTCTCTCATCATGGATGCTTCTCTCTCTCTCTCCCTCTCCCTTCCTCTCTGAAATCAATGAAAAGAAAAAAGGTGGAGGGTCCTCGAGACAGTCCCGCCCCCAGCCCTGTGCCCCCAGGACTCCCAGGGCCCCAGGTGTCCCCCCCGCCCCCCCCCCCCCCCCCCCCGTCGGTCGGCCTGTCCGTTCTCTCCCCTCTGACTCTGGCTCCCTGGGTGGTGCTGGGGTTCCTGGGTTGGAGGCCTCTGTGTGCACAGAATGTGAATGTCTTCCGAACCCCCAACCCCTCCCTCCCACACACACATCTGCAAGCCCAGGGCCTGCTGTGTGCAGCATGCGAGTGTGAGTGTGTGTGTGAATGTGTGTGTGTGTGTGTGTCTCCTGTGGGAGGGGTTGGGGGGAGGGGGCGACGGGCAGGGGAGGGGCGGTGAGCCCGTTCTATTTTTACCGGCCAGTTGCTGAGGGCCCTGGAGTTCATAGCCTCCCTCCCCACTGCCCCCACAGTCTGCCTTCGACTTCGGGACCGGCGAGCCCAGCTCTTGGACGGACAGACGGACGCTGACCCAGGTGAGTGTCTGCAGCCAGTTCCGGGTCCAGCCCAGACCCGGCCCTGGGGGAGGGCGGGGCGGCCGGAGGACAAGAGGCTCAGAGATGGAAGAAGGGGTTTCTGGCTGGGACAGTTGTCGGGGAGCAGCCCGGGTCCCCCGCAGCGTCTGTGGCACCTCTCCTGCCCATTGAGGCTTTCTACAAGGTGCCGCCAGGAACCCAGGGCACGGCCTAACGGCTCTGTCTGCACACGGGGACCCCCAGCAGTGCCAGGAGGGAGGGGACGCCTTGGGGAGGGGGCGGCATTGGGGATCAGGGGCAGGAGGGGGGCTCAGGCTGCAGGGGGAAGAGCTGGGTGGGCAGGGAACGTGAGCGGTCCCTGCAGCGGATGGAGAAGTGGTGGGGTGAGCGGGACTCGGGGAGCCTGGAAGACTGGACTGCGGGGCCCCTGAGCCAGGGAACCTCTGGCCTCTTTTTCTTTGTCTCAGAGGGACAGGCTTCGCCCCCCATGCCCGTCGGACGGCAGGACCAGAGCCGACGAGGGCGGACTGCCAGGCCCTGGGCACCGCTCCTGCCCCTGAGGGGGTGGGGGACAGGTGGTGCCCGCCTTTGGGGCTGCAGCCTGAGAGTCTGTGCTCAGGGCACCGTCCCTGGGGTCCCCGTGGTGGGGCGGGGCTCTGTCTGCCGCGGGGGCTCGAGGCAGCACCTCCAGCCATGGTTTAAAGATAGTTCTTTTTAAAAATATATTTGTATTGATCTCAGAGAGGAAGGGAGAGAGAGAGAGAGAAACATCCATGATGAGAGAGAACCATGGACCGGCCGCCTCCTGCACGCCCCACACTGGGGGTCGAGCCCGCAACCCGGGCCTGTGCCCCGACCGGGAATCGAACCCTGACCTCCTGGTTCCTAGGTTGACGCTCAGCCACTGGGCCACGCCGGCCGGGCTGGTTCCGAGATGGGGCTTCCCCGCTCAGAGCTGGGGTGTGGGCCCACAGGCACGGGCTTGGGGGACAACCCTGGCTCACAGCAAGGCAGGACCAGACGCCCTTGAACTGGGGCCGAGGTCAGGGGTGGGGAGCAGGAGGAAGAGCAGGGGCCTGAGGTGAGAAGTGCGTCCCTGGTCACCAGGTAGCAGGGAGAGAGCCCAGGCCTTGCACACTCACACTCACTCACACTCACACACTTGGTCCCACACTCTCCTCCCTCCCTGCGGGTTGCCTGGTATCTCCTAGCTGCCCACTTGGGGGGGCGGGGAGGGGGAGGGGAGACAAGGAATGCTGCCCCCACCTCCCGTTTGCTATCTGCCTCCTGCCTCCTTATCAGGCTCCTGTCTGTCAAGGGGTCCCGTCCGTCCGCTGGGAATGGCAGCCCAGGCCGGACCCCGGGGGCCTGGTGTTTGTCAGCGGGGCAGGCCCTGGCGCTTGGCAGGAGGCCTGGACCGGTGGGCAGGGGGGCCCCAGGCGCTGACAGGGGGCTCTCAGAGGCAGGGGCGAGCGCAGCCACGTGCCTGCCTCAGGGTGGGGGGAGGCGCACCCCGGATGAGGCACAAGATGCTGGGCTGAGGCCCAGGACCTGGGCACTGGCATTGGGGGGTGGGGGGCAGGGATGCTGGACCCACGGACGGGGCGAGCCTTCCCAGCTCATGTTTCGTTCTGGACTTTCTCAGTCTCTCGGGGGGCGGGCGGGGGGGGGGGGAGCCCTCAGAACCAACAGCTGGTGACAGCTCTAATTTCAGCCAAGCATCTCGGGAACGTAGGCCCGATGGGCGCCCACCTCCCCCTCCATGCCCAGGGTGACAGCTGAGACTCTGGGGTCACCCCCCGCTCCCCCAGGCTGCACCCCCCTCCAGCCCCCCCACAAAGCAGAGGCAGAGCTGGAGCCAGAGGGGCCCCGGCCCGGGCATGGTGTGGGGATCAAGCCTGCAACCCGGCACCTGCCCCGACTGGGAATCCACCCGTGACCTCGTGGTTCATAGGCTGATGCTCAGCCACGGAGCCCTGAGCCACGCCAGCTGGGCGGTCCCATCTGGACCCATGGGGACCCCACTCTGCCTGGTTTCTCCTTCCCACCTTCTGCCCCCCTCTCCCCCCCGCAACCCGTGGGCTGGGGGACAGGAGCTGTGACCTCCCTCACTCATGTTCTCTGCCCCAGGTGCTGCCCGCCCCCTCTGCAGCCATGCCGGAAGTGTAAGTAGCCCCCCGACCCTGTGTGTGGGCGGCGGGGGCAGGGGACAGGTCCCTCTGGGGCAGAACCCAGCCCTAAAGTGGGGGTCCCCCACCACAAGCAGCTCCTCTGAAGCTGGATCCTCAAACAGGAACGGTCCTGGGTGCCGGGGTCCCCCGTGTCCCCAGACATCCTCCGGGTCTTGGAGCAGAACCCACATCCCCCGGTTGACTTTTCCGGCCTGTTCCGGAGTCCGTGTGTCTGCACGGATCCCGCGACTCGCGTGTGCCAGGCCCCGGCTTAACGCTGCCCCAGAGATGCACGGAGGTTTGGGGATTTACCTCGAGCCCAGAGAAGGGAACTTTTCCCAGCAGGACCCCATGTCCCCCTGCCCCTGCCGCCCCCCCACAACCAGGGTACCGCCCCACAAAAGCCTGCAGCAGCCCCGGGATCCTATTCTATTCTGCTGGGACCCTTGACCGGGACCCCGGCCTGAGGCCTGGCTTTTAGCCGGTTCCCTGTGGTCACCACCCCTCCCGGCCCACACCTGCCCCCCGGTCCTGTGGCTGCGTGAATAAGTGAATAACATCTCGTTCCCCCTCTCCCTCTTCCGCCTTCTCCCTGGTCCTTCTCTCTGGTCCCTCCTGTGACGGGTGCCTGCAGCGAGGTAAGTGAGGTTTGCTGTCTCTGTGCTGGTTCAGTCTTTTTTTAAACTATTTTTATTGATTTCAGAGAGGAAGGGAGAGGGAGAGAGAGGGAGAGAAGCATCCATGATGAGAGAGGATCATGGATCGGCCGCCTCCTGCACGCCCCCCACTGGGGATGGAGCCCGCAGCCCGGGCCTGTGCCCCGACCGGGAATCGAACCCTGACCTCCTGGTTCCTAGGTCGACGCTCAGCCCCTGAGCCACGCCGGCCAGGCTGCCATCCTGTTTTGTCTGTGATAACCCTGGCCTGGGTCGGGGGCGGGGGTGTCTCAGCAGGTGAGGAGGGGGGCCCACAGGTGCCATGGGACCCCCGTGTCTCCCGGGGTCCCGGCCGCAGCAGAGCCAGAGCAGAAAGGGGGGCTCCCTGCCGCCCTCTCTGGATCTGAGAATTCGGGCAAATCCCCGCGAGGAGCTGAGAAGGGACCCCTAGAGGATTCAGGGGGCCGACCGTGACCCTGGCCGGGCTGGGTTCTCCATTCTGCAGCCCCCGCCTCACCCTGTCTCCCCGCTTCTCACCCCCAGAGAAAATCCAAGATCACCGCCTCCCGCAAGCTCATGCTGAAGGTGAGCTGGGCCCGGGGGGTCGGGGGGGGGAGTGGGGGGGGCGGGACTGGGGGCCTGGCAGCTGAGAGGGGCCGGCGGCCAGCAGGTGGGGAGCCAGGGTGGGCCCAGGGGCTGGCTTTATTTTCTATTTTTATTTTTTAAATATATTTTTTTATTTCAGAGAGGAAGGGAGAGGGACAGAGAGAGAGAGAAACATCAATGATTGATCGGCGGCCTCCTGCCTCCTGCACGCCCCCCACTGGGGATCCAGCCCGCAACCCGGGCCTGCGCCCCGACCGGGAATCGAACCCTGACCTCCTGGTTCCCAGGTCGACGCTCACCCCCTGAGCCACGCAGGGTGGGCGGGACGTGCTTTGTTTTGATAGGAGTCTCTCTCTCTTTGGACCTTCGGGGGCAAAACAGCGGGAAGGGAGTCGAAGGGGCCTGGGCGGGAAGGACAGCTCAGGGACCGAGAGGGGGTGTGGCCACCTGCCGGGGGGCGGGGGGGGGGACGGCCAGCGCACACACGCCCACCCGCGCTCGGCCACCGTCCTGGTCCCGTGCTCCCTGAGTGTGAGGACACGGAGCCCAAAGAAGGGCCAGCCGAGGCCAGAGCCGGCCGGGCCCGGGGTCCCCCTTCCCTCAGGCCCAGTGCCAGTGGGAGCTGGGGTGTCCGGGCCTCCCCCTTATGCCCCCTGCTCACCGGGCTCCGTCCGTCCGTCCAGAGCCTGATGCTGGCCAAGGCCAAGGAGTGCTGGGATCAGGAGCTGGAGGAGCGCGAGGCTGAGAAGTCCCGCTACCTGGCTGAGCGCATCCCGACGCTGCAGACGCGTGGCCTGTCCCTCAGCGCCCTGCAGGTGAGCCCGGCCTGGGAGGCGGGGTTGGGGGGTGGGGGGACGCCATGGACCAGGTGGCCCGAGCTGGGACTGATGAGCAGCTCGCTCCCCGTTCCATTTTCAGAGCCCCATGCGGGGCTGGGGTCAGACCCCGTGTCACAGGTCCAGGAAGCCAAGTGTCTCAGCGAAGGGGCTGGGAGGGGGCCCGGGGCTGGGGGGCAGGCGAGGGAGGCCCCCTCCCACCCTCTCGTCCCTGCTCCCCCAGGACCTGTGCCGGGACCTGCACGCCAAGGTGGAGGTGGTGGACGAGGAGAGATACGATATCGAGGCCAAATGCCTCCACAACACCAGGGAGGTGAGCCGGGCCGGGCTCGGGTGGGGGAGGCGGGGGCGCCGATGGGCCAGGCCTCCTCCTTCTGCAGGGGCTGGAGGTGGCCACTCAGAGGGATGCTCTGCTCCCCTCCCCCGTCCCCGCTCTGGCCCCGCAGGCTGGAGAGGGAGGACGCCACACAGACTCCCGTGCCCGGGAGCAGCCCCCTGCCTCTGTGAGCAGCTTTCACGGGCCTCAGACCCTCCCCACCGCCTGGGGAGGAAGTCGGTGCTACTATCTGCACCGCACAGAGGAAGACTCTGAGGTTCAGAGTGGCCCCAGTCACACACTCCAGGGCTTAGCGCTCCCTGACCGACCAGCCAGCCCCTGCTCAGGGCATGGGAGGGCACGGCTCCTGCTGCCTCTGGCGCTGTTCAAGGGGAGGAGGGGCAGGGAGGTCCCCTGAGATCACACCCAAGCGATGTCCTCAGGGGTCAGGACCTGGGGTTCATCCAGCCCCTGGGACCAAGGCTGTGCCCTCCATGGGCTGCCTGGAGGGCTCAGAGGGGAGGGGCGAGCTAGGTGCCATTCGCGGCCATAGAGGCAGGGAGACGGGGGTGGAGGGGTGGGGTTGGGAGGGGGCTTTATCTGTGCATTTACTGGTCCTTCATTTATGGACAAACACACGAGGCCATTTGCAAAGAGAGGGGTGGGTCTGCGTGTCCCGCGGGGTCCGGAGAGTCTGGGGTGCAGCAGCTCTGGCTGGGATCCCCGGGAAGGGGGCCGCGGTGCCCGCCACCCCACCCCCCAGCGAGCCCTGGCGCCCTCCCGCCCGCAGATCAAGGACCTGAAGCTGAAGGTGCTGGACCTCCGCGGGAAGTTCAAGCGGCCGCCGCTGCGCCGGGTGCGCGTCTCGGCCGACGCCATGCTGCGGGCCCTGCTGGGCTCCAAGCACAAGGTGTCCATGGACCTGCGGGCCAACCTGAAGTCGGTGAAGAAGGAGGACACCGAGAAGGTGAGGTCCCGGGGCCCCCCAGCCCTCGCCGGACGCCCCTCACCGCCCCAGGCCGGCCCACCAGCTCTGGGTGGAACGTTCTAGAACCTCCTGGGAGGCCAGGGATGACGCCTTACTCTGTTTTGCGAGAGGAGGCGTGGTGTCTGCCCTGACTGCTCCCCGTCCAAGGGGGACACGGGGACCCAGAAAAGCCAGACCGAGGAATCAAATACCCAGCCGGCCCGTGTGGTTCAAGCGGCTGAGCAGCGACCCAGGAACCTAGAGGTCGCGGTTCGATCCCCGGGCAGGGCACACGCCCGGGCTGTGGGCTCGCGCCCCAGTGTGGGGCGTGCAGGAGGCAGCCGATCGATGATGTTTCTCTCTCATCGATGTGCCTACCTCTCCATCCCTCTCCCTTCCCCTCTCTCTCTCTACAAAATCATTAAAAACATTAAAAAAAAACAAAACAGGAATGAAACACCCAGAGGGCGTGGTGGTCAGGGTGACAGGGGACGCGGCAGAGATAGCAGGCGGTCACGGTCCCCGCACACGGAGAACAGAGGCTAGGGGCTGGGTTAGGCCTCTCACTGAGCAAGTCACGCAAACTTGGCCGAGGTCACGGCCTCCGTGGCCAGAACCGAGGGGTCGGTAAGAAACGTGGAGGAAAGACGTGGTCTGTGGCCCCGGAGGTTCGCGGTGAACGAGGTGGAGCAGGCGGCAGGCTGGCGGGTGGACCGGGGGCCGATGAGCGGGAGGAAGGCTTCCCGGAGGAGGTGGCCTCTGGCCGCTGAGCGGGACCAGGGGGGTGGCTCCGGGCCTTGGGTGGGACCGGGCCCGTGACCCCACAGTCATCTGTGGGGGGAGCCTCGGCCTGGCCAGTGCAGGTGAGGCTGACCGGGGCTGGCCCGCCCGCCCGCAGGAGCGGCCGGTGGAGGTGGGCGACTGGAGGAAGAACGTGGAGGCCATGTCGGGGATGGAGGGCCGGAAGAAGATGTTTGATGCCGCCAAGTCTCCCACCTCGCAGTAGAGGTACCTGCAGGCCGCCTGCCCCCCCTCTGGGGCCCACCTGGGTCTCAGGGGTGATGGGGACCCGAGACAAGGCTGGGGTGGTGCAGGGTGGGGTCCACCTGGCCCAGCACCCCGAGACCTCAGGCATGTCACCCACAGATGTCCCCTCGCCCATAAGCTTGTATCGGATCAGTGGTTCTGGGACCAGCGTGTGGGCGCCACGTGGGGTGCTAATGACCGCCCACCCCTCACCCCAGGCCCACTGAATGGGAAGTTGGGTGGGGCCGGCCCTCCAGGTGTTCCTGACCCAGGAGTTTGAGGACCCCTGGATTCCGTGACCCCTGAGGGCCCTGGGCTCCAGCAGAGCAGCTGAATTAGCCCCATGAGGCCCTCTGGGAGGGGGGATGTGCCAGGGGGCGGGGTCCGGGACCTGTCAGAGCCTGGGTTCCGGAGGGGCGGGCTCCCGGGGAGTGACGGGCGGGTGTTGGAAGGTGCGGGTCCCAGCACGGCAGGGGGGTGAGTGAGCCAGGCAGGAGGGGTCCCCCTGGAAGAGCAGTGACGGGTGGGGAGGGCCTGGAGCGGACGCTTTGTGGGAGCCCCCGTGGGCGATGGTGCAGCCCGGGGGGCGCTGGGGTGAGGTCTTGGGGATGCGTGTGCTCGGGGTGAGTCAGGGGGACATGCATCCAGGTCACTGGACTGACGGCCGCCGCCTCTCTGTCCCCACAGGCCGCTCGCTGTGCTGGCTCTGGGCGCCTGCAAGGCCCCTCCTCTGCCTGTCCCTGCACCCCCCACCCCTTCCCCCACCCCCCTCCCCCTCCGCCCTGAGTGTCGCCTCCACGGGACTGGGATCAGCAGACACAGAGGAGACGCCAGTTTGAAGACCTCCCCCAGCCTGGGGGGCCCCTGCCCTCGCCCGCCACTCCCTCGCTGCTGCTATGACACCCAGTGGCCCCCCCACACCCCAATAAAATCCATGTCGCCAGCGTCTGGGGGGCTCTGTGAACAGAGGGCGGGGGTGGGGGGTGGCTCCCGTCTTCAGCTCCATCAGAACGAGGGCTAAGGAATCGCAGCGCCTGCTGAGACACACCCCCCCCCCCCCGCCGGGACCCCTCTGCCCAGGCCCAGTGCCCTCACACAACACCCCAACACCTCCCAAGGCACAGCTCACCCCGCCCCCCAGACTCCAGCCATCAGAGGCGCCTCTGCATTCTGAACCCCTCGGCCTGATCCACAGCCCCTTCCTCTGCACACCTGGCCCCCCTTCCCTGTGCCGCTGGGGTTCCTGCCTGTTCTGGGCTGGGAGGGCAGGGAGCTTTGGGGAGGGTGTGGGGGGCTTTTCTGGTCCTGCAGGCACAGGGCAGTTCCGCACATGGCCACCAGGTGGCGCCTTCCCATCTCCCTCCTGGGCTCCATCTGCATCCACCCTTCTCTCCCCACCAGGGGGGCAGCAGTGGTCTGTCCTCTGGGTCAGGACCTTCCTCCTCTCCCCCTCCCTCCGCCCACATCTGGACCCAAAGCCCGGGTAGGATGCCAGCCTCCCCAGTCCCCACTAAGTCTCTTGTCCCCGTCCCCGGGGCCCCTGGCTTTCTGCCCCAGGAGAGGAGGGGCCCCCTTCGACACCCCTGCCTGTCCCCGTCCTGCCCTCTGCCCCGGGCGTATTGTCTGCCATAAACGCCAGAAGCGGGTGCAAAGGGCAGTGCCAGCTCTTCCCGGGGGCAGGGTCTGGCACCCGGGGCCAGGCAGCCGCCAGCAGAGACGGCCGGCCATGGGTGTGGGGGACGGGGGTGGGGGTGGGGGTAGTGACGTGCCCGGGTTCCTCACCACAGCTCAGTGGGGCCCTGGCCGGCTTGGCTCAGTGGATAGAGCGTCGGCCTGAGGACGGAAGGGTCCTGGGTTCGATTCCGGTCAAGGGCACGCACCTCAGTTGCAGGCTCAGTCCCCAGTCCCCGTCGGGGCACGTAGGGGAGGCAACCAATCCCTGTGTTTCTCTCACATCGATGCTTCCCTATCTCGTTTCTCCCCCTTCCTTCTATCAATGGGAACTACCCCCAGCTGAGGACTCAAAAACACACAAACAAACACACAAACAGCTCAGTGGCAGGAACGCAGACACAATTCTCACCTCACCCAGATGCCTCAGGCATGCCCCGTGACACCCACCCACCCACGCACCCCCATGGGCGTTCCCTCCACGCCACAGAGGAATTGGGTGGGGCTCCGTGCCCAGGCAGCCCCAGCAACCCCCCTTCCCTGCCTCCCGGGGCTCCTCCCCACTGGCAGGGTCCCCGGCCCAGTCTCCCTGCTTTCTCTGCCTCTGCTCGGCCCTCGGACAGAGCCGGGCCCCACGTCCCAAAGCCCAATCTCAGCGCTACCGTCGACCCATAACCTGGGGCCCCGGCAGATTGGGGTTCCCCACCCTGCCCTACAAAAACGGGAGACCAGCCCCGGCCTGACTCAAAACAAACACCTGGGTGCAGAGCCCGTGGGCGGAGGAGGTGGGGCCGGCTGCACACGCCCAGGGCCACGGGTCCTCCTGCTTCCACACAGGGCTGGCCGAGCCTGCCTCCTGTGGCCCCTGCGTGGACCAGCCGGGTGTCCATGGCAAAGCCGCACACGGCAGCTGGGAGCGCCCGCCTGCAGCTGGCAATGGGCCTGGTGCCACCTGCCACTCCCCTGCCTGCCGGCTGCAGCCCCTCCCCACGCTGTCCCTTCCTGGGGGGTGGGAGTGGGGTGTGGGTACTGTCTGTCTGGCGTCTGCCTCGCAGCGCCCGCCCCCCCCTCCCCCCCAGGATTGCCGGGGCTAAAGTGCCCTGATGAGGAGGGAGCCGGTTAAACATTAGCCCCAATGGCCCCCTGCGAAGCCGGTCAGACTCCCCGCAGACTCCGGCTGGACAGCCAGAGGGGCAGCTTCGTTCCGGGTGGGTGAGCCGCTACCGAGCCCAGGACAGGCGGCCGGGACCCGTGTGGACAGACGGCAGCCTCCTCTCCTGGCCCAGCCAGGCTCTCCCCGCTAGCCCCACAGCTTGTGACGTGACCTGAGGGCGAGGCTCTCGCTCCCACAACACCAACCCCCCCCCCCCCCAGAGCTGGCCTGGGGGTCCCCTGAGCCTGGGCTGAGCAGCCTGAACTCTATAAGCCCGGTTCAGCGCTGCAGTCAAGGTCGGGAGGCCCAGAGAGGGACAGCGACTTCCTCGAGGTCACAGACCCAGCCCGGCTGGCGTGGCTCAGTGGTTGAGCTCCAACCTATGACCCAGGAGGTCAGGGTTCGATTCCCAGTCAGGACACAAGCCCGGGTTGTGGGCTCGATCCCCAGCGTGGGGCGTGCAGGAGGCAGCCGATCCATGATTCTCTCTCATCATGGATGTTTCTCTCTCTCCCTCTCCCTCCCTCTCTGACATCAATACAAATATTTTAAAAAGATCACAGACCTAAACCAGGATGAAAATGCAGGCCCCCTGAGAACCCTGGGTGTGGGCAGAGCTTGGTCCCAGCCAGAGGCCCAGGCCCGGGGTCTGAGCCGGTCCTGCCCAGCGCTGACCCCGCCCTGTGCTCGGGGTTCAGGAGAGAAGTAGGGCCTCACCTGGGTGCCGGGGCAGGTGTTCTGAGCTGGGAGCCCCGGGAGGAGTGTGTGTGTGTGTGTGAGTGTGTGTGTGGGGGGGACTTGTGGCTGTCAGGTGTGACTCCCACCCCAGCTGGCTGGGGGCCGGGAATCCCCTTGCCCCCCTCCCCCCACGGAGGCCGCCTTGGGGAAGGAGCAGCTGCCCTATGAGGGCGGGGAAGTCCAGGGCCTGACGTCCGCCCTGGCAGCAGGAGGTGACCCCTTCGGGCTGCGGGCTGGGAAGTCTCGGGAACCCCTGGCCCCGACCGGGGACTTCCATGTGACGGGCGTCTTCGCGGACGCGCTGGGGGAAGTGAACCTGGTGTGGTTAACACACGGACCACGGAAAGCATTTCACAGGAACATATCCCGCCGGAAGAACAGGGGGGCGCACACTGAGGAGGCCCCGTGGGCCCCTCTCCCCATCGCCCTCCCTCCCTCGAAGGAGAACGTGCCCGAGAGTTTGTGTCTCATTCCCATTTGTTTATTTATTTGTGTTTTTTGTTTGTTTGTTTTGTTTTGATTGATTTCCGAGAGGAAGGGAGAGGGAGAGAGAGAGAAACATCACTGAGGAGAGAGAGTCACGGACCGGCTGCCTCCTGCACACCCCACCCTGGGGATGGAGCCCACAGCCTGGGCCTGTGCCCTGACGGGGAATCACACCGCGACCTCCTGGTTCATAGGTCGATACTCAACCACTGAGCCACACCAGCCGGCCGGGCTGTCTGTGAGTTTTTATAGCCGCAGGGAGAGCGTTGGATTTTAGTCTTTTATTTTTTTAAAAAAATTTGTACTTGATTCATTTGAGCGAGAAGGAGGGGAAGGAGAAGGAGAGAAACATGGATTTGTTGTTCCTCTCATGGATGCAAATCGATTCACGGATTAGTGTTCCATGCGCCCTGACCCGGCATGGAACCAGCGGCCTTGGCCTATCCGGCTGAGGCTCTAACCAGCGGAGCCGCCGGCCAGGGCAGCCTCTGTCTGGACTGTTGGATGCGGACTGACCCCTGGCCTCGTGGAGTGTCCGGGTGGGGCCGGGCCCCAGGGCCTCCTGGCAACTCTGGTCCACCTGGAAGATGCTCAGCCCGGGTGGGAAGCAGCTGCAGGAGAGCGAGCCAGGTGGCGCCGGGGGCGCTGAGCGGCCTCCAGCTGCCCCCCATCCGGCCCCGTTAGTGACCCGGGGGAAGCCGGAGCCCCCGGGGCCTTCACCGCCTCCGCCCCAAGTCCAGCACCAGCGCGGAGGACAGAGCCCCCGCGCCTTCCGGTCCCCGCGCCCGGGGCGCGCCCGTGTTCGCTGAACCGGAGCCGCGGATCGCGCGGCGGGAGGGCCCGGCCGGCCAGTGAGGAGCGCGCGCCCGGGGCCCCCGGGGTCGCCGCGCGCTCTGCCCCCGGGATCACGGGCCGGGCGCGCCCCATTCCCCCCGGCCTCCCGCCCAGGGTCCCTTCGTTCGTTCGGGGGAGTCGGCCCCCGGCGCCGCGCGCTCCGCCTGACCCCGACCCGCGGTCCCGCCCCCCGCCCGGCGCCCCGGCCGCGGCACCTGCGCGCGGAGCCGCCCAGCGCGGAGCTGGTCCGACTGGTTCTGAGCAGGAAGCGGCGCCCTCGCCCTGCCGGGCCGCCCGCACACCAGCCCCGCGCCTGCCGGGCGGTCCGGGTCCGAGCGGCCGTGCGTCCGGCGCGCGGAGGCCGGGGCGGGGACCGGGGCGGCGACCGGGGCGCCCACACCCGGGGGCGCTCCCGGCGGCGAATCAGCGCGCGGCGCGGGCGGCGGGGCGCCCAGGTGACCTCCCTGCGCGGCGGCGGGGGAGGGGCGCGCAGGTGAGGCGGCCGCCGAGTGAGCGCGTGGTCCCGGCGGCGGCGGCAGCATGTCCGGCAGGAAGGACTGGTCGGCGCTGTCCAGGTGAGCCCGGCGCGGGCCTGACCCCGAGGCCGGACTGGCCTCGCTGCTCCTTAGGGGTCAGAATTGGGGCCAAACTGGAGAGCCCTCGGGACAGGGTGGGGTTCCTGCTCTCCCACGGCCTCCTGTCCTCCCCTTGGGAGGGGCTCATGGGGGGGGGGGCGCCTGGGGAGGGCTGGTCCCTGGCCTGGGGAGCCCCCCGTCGCACCATCCCAGCTCTGGGGCCGGGGAGGTGCCCGGTGTGGCCCAGCCTCGGCCCGGAGTGGAGTCCTCCTCACGCTGGGTTTGGGCGGATTGTAGCCTCTCCCCGGGCAGAGGGAGGAGGGGGGGGGCTCATAGGATCCCCTGGGGCTGTTGAGGTTCAGAGTCTGAGAATGGCATTCTGGGTGCAGCTGGGCTGGGCGCCTCAGGGTAGACGCCGTCCCTCTCTGTGCTCGACTTTCTTTGGGAGTGGAGCCCTCAGAGGGTCAGAGAAGGGGGGGCTGGTCCC